GTCAGTATGATAAGTAACTATATCACGTTTGAAATAAAATGTAGCTTTTATTTCTAAAACGATTTTCTTATTAAGTTATACGATATTTATAAATTATCGAACGTTATATAGAATCGATCTTCAACTTTACTCGTTAAACTGGTAAATTCACTTTCATATCCATTTTCGAACGACTAACCCTTTCATGTACCTGATAAAATCGGTCTTCTCGCGTCGCAACAATCGCATGCTTTCACGAATCCATTCGTCCTGGAAGAATTAACACTCGATGGAAAAAAAGGGTGGCGTTAAATGGCAGATTCAGAACGATTGAAAGCCTTTTAAAAAAAGGTCTCTAGGAACGTAGAAGAAGACCGAAGTGAGCTTAAACTCTTCAAGAGGGTTACACGGTAAAGGCGAAAAGAAAAGAGCCGGACGTCGATACAGAGTGCTGTTTACGCCGTCATCTCTCTTGTAACCTTCATCTTCCACGCCCTCTTTCAATCTCGTTCTTCCCTTTTCCCAGTTTTTAACAGACCTTCCTCGAATATCGCTCGTCCGCAAGCGTGTTCGTTCAATACCCTAGGTAATTTACTTCAATGGCCAATTACTTCAACACCTGTCATTGTTTCTCTATTTTGAAATTGTTCCCGTGTAACATAATTTATGATATTGTGCGAATGGTGCTTTTAGCAACACCGGAAGAGATTCATTTCACACACGTATAATTGATCGAACTCTTTTTTTAATCAACGTTATTACCTTGGAACTGTGGAACTTGCAAATAAATAATTTTCCTACTAATCATAAACATCGGCGTCACCGCTATATTTAATTTTAATGTGGTGCACTTTGGAAATTGATATTCCAGCGTACAAATAATTCTGCTGGACGTGACACAGTTTCTAGTTGCTCGAGTGTCATGAAGGTAAAACAAGGATGGCTAAAAAGAGAAAGGATGGAAAAGTGTATTTTATATTCGTAATATTGGAATTGTTTACTGTAAAACCTTTTACTCTATCGTATCGAAATTACAACGGAGTTGTTTCTGTTTATTTACAAATTTGTATATTAAACAACAGGATAAAACGAGTGTATTTTACTTTGAAACGATAAAAGATAAATACAGTTGACAGAATGAGGGGTGTATCGCGGGGATTTGGAGGCACACTGATTTACTGATTATACGCTTCAACGTCAATTCTTCGCATATCGATCTGATACAATGCTTCTCACGGCAATACTCTGCGAGACAATACTTCGCAAGACAATACTTCACGAGACTCATTGCACTCGTTTTTGTATGTTGCCGGAAATATAGGCGTCGCTTTCTTCCCTCCAATCGAATACCTTTTTCCGAAAACTGACGACTTTCCGAATCGATAGAACGAGGGAAGGTGAATACCGTGAAAAGTATACGAACAGTCGAAAGCTCAGACCTCAATGGCAAGGTATACGATGCATCGATTGCACTAGGGTAATTCATATTGGCAATTAGTTAATTTAAGAATCGTATTAAAATTCCGAAGTCTTCATCCGTCATCGTAAACCTAACTCTTCGGCCTGGCTCTTGTGCGCATATTGCGGAATATTAATAAATGACGCATATGTGTGTCGTCGGTTTCGTATAGTTCAAGCAATACAAATCGTGATATGTATCACTAGCTCTGTTTTCGCGTTCCTTTTTTCATCCCAGTTTTTACGGAGGGTATTTATCCGTAAAAAATGTCGACCTTGCCCCACACGATCTTTTTCATCCCTTTCGCGCGACGAGACCGGAGTACAGCCACCCCTACCCGCCGCCCCCTCAATTTGCATTTTCCTCCCTTCTTTTCCTCTCTGTCTATGTGTCTGCTGGCCTTTTTGGATCCTGTACCCGCCTTAGTCTGGGTGACAAAGGATCCTTCTAACGATAAGTGGACCAGCCGAACGGAATAAAGGTGTTCCCGCGATGATCCTCCATTTTCAACGTAACACGCCGATAAATCTTGGATGGACGACTACGATCTATCGACGAGACTAGATCACAAGCTGTTCTTTTTCCAGGGATTGATGATGGACATATTTTGTATTGGATAGCTTGAGAAACGGTAATTTTGGTTCTCTAATTTTATTTCCGAGAAATTGCTAAAGTCAATCTTTGTGCCTTTTCTTATCTTTTTCTCTTCATCTTTTAAAAGAAATGCAACTAAATATATCGAGATCTAGGTTCGTGTGTACATTGATATATAATGTTTTAAAATTAATACTATATTTTATATCTGCCCTTAATATTTAGACACGTAACATTTTAATAACATATTCACCAATAATACAATATTTTGATACGTAACGTAATAAGATTATTCGAGATGTACAATCTCGAGCGTAGTAGCTCGTTAATTATGAACATTATTATGACTGATTTATTGTCATTGGTTCATTACTCTATATTGGCAGAAGCTGTTCGTTTATCCTGTCACGATCTTTAATTATAGTTATGCAATTACGATAGCTTATATCGCAATAATCCCAGAAATAGCTGGTAATTACCAAAATTCGAGAATATGTTTATACACGATATTTTATGGAAAAAATGTAAAATCCTGTAAAAAGTACTACCCGCTTTTTATTTTTCATTTCTTCTGTCGAATTTTTATCGGTAAATAAATCAAGCTTAATCAATACAATAATCCATGTCAACGTAATAATTAAAGTCGAATGAAAGAAGAAAGAAAACATAACATTGAATTTATGTGCCCGTCCCATCGTGATCCATCTTCCGATCATTCCACCACATTTGTATTTCCATCCCGATTTCCGCAAATTATTTGCATGGTACAAATTTATTTTAGTACCCTCTGGAGTGCTAATTTAAAAATTTTCATTGGGAAATGGTACCAGGAATAAATCACGAGTTACTGGATACGCGATACATCTCGTATTGTTTATTCGCTGCATGTTACGGAGCGTAGTCAATAAATTTTTTAGTTAATAAATATACTGGCATTATCGACGTACAAGGACATTGAACAGAACAGAAACAGATGAGATGTCACACGTTTTTAAAATTCAATATGTTATTGTCAAATCTCATATTTCCAAAACTACCGCTTCATACGTATTTAAAATTAAAAAATTTATTTAAATGTAAACTTGCAAAAACGAATAATAAAAAAAGAAATGAAGAAATTTGAAGGTTCTTTCGACGCATAGATGTAGGTGAAACACTGTATACCGCGTGTATACGAACAGAGAGAAAAACCGTAGAACCGACCTCGAGTCAATTGCGAGAAGATAAGTAGCAGCCGCATCTTCGAAGTCGTGCGCAGTTTTTGCCAGTCGGTATCGCGTATGTTCTAAACACGTACGCGCTGTACGTAGAACTGAATCGTATTATGCATCTCATTCCAGTTATCCCGTGTATTTACGTAGATTCGCGTTCGTGAAATCCTCCGTGGAATTCTTCTATTCTGCAACCATATTCCCCTATAGCTGCCCCTTCCATCAGGCAAAGCTGCAGTATCGTAACTGAAAAACTTTCCATGCAACATTTACATGCGTGCCCGCCCATGCACGTAAAGTGATTTTGTTGTTACTCGTTAGACGCGTTCTACGGAGATCGCTAAAACTACCGACAGAAATCTGGAAACGACGTTTCTTCGTCGATTTTGCTTTCCATCCAGAGGAGGGTGCGGTTTTTGATCGCGTTTATGCGCAGATGTGGTTCATAAGAAGAAGAATAATTCAGGGATTTCAAGCCCGATAGTAGAAATTTTTCTATTCAATATAATTAAATGGACAAAGATACGAAGTTCCTATCTACCGATAATGTAGCTACGATAGATTGTGACGTTTGAATTTATATTTTGTTCGCTTGTAAATGCTATTCGAAAGGAAGGGATTAATTCGTGTAAATAAATTGCTTGTTACTGATACAGTAACGAAATACGCGACGAGTAAATCAAGTGGAATTTAAAAAGCTAAATATATCGATACAACTATAATTTCAAGGTAATATAGCGTTATAAAGTATTAAAGAGTTGATACCACCGCTATATTCTTTAATTTATATCGAACTGCATATTTTCCACGGTTGAACAGGGGAAGCTTGACCTGAATATCGTAAATCCATTACTCCCATCAGCTCTCTATCTCGTAGATTTATAGTACGTCAATCGCCATTACGCTTGAATGAAACAAGATGCTCATCATGCTATCGGCATAAATATGAAAAGCTCTTCGGTAGTAAGTGAATTTCAAAAGGACTGATTTCTCGATTCGACTGATCAGTCGAATCAACCGAGGATTCGTGTCCTCTCCTTTTAAACTCCTTATTTCTCGAAAAGAGAAGTGTTACGAGGAGTTGGGCTATAAATGTAGTATCGTGGAAACAAAGGCCTGTGTCGGCACTCGATAGCAAATACCACCACTCGACACTTACTAGTGTCGGACGACGGCAGCGCAGTGGTTAGCGCCTTAGGTTACGAACGTTCGGAACCCGAGTTTGAATCCCGGGACCGGAGTCCGATTTTTCTTCCACGATACAAAGTATGAGAAGAAAAGCGGCCGTATCCAGCAACAAGCGACATCTACAGCCTAAGTATTCCGAAACTGCATAAATTTTAATCGGAAAAATCCTACATTCGTGTTGATATATTTGGGTATCTTCGAATATCTTGAAAACATTTTACAAATGCTCGAGTAGCGTTTAATTAGCAGAACAATTAACGAATATCGTGTCTGCCGATGAAGATAAAAATGCATCACGTTTCACCGACTTCTCACACATCGCGCGAATTGTTTTCTCTGCAATTAATATACCTGAAAGCGTTTTCGCGTTCGTGCCGAATAACTTCATCTTTGGTTAATTTATATACGCCGAGCGACCCGGAGAATTAATTAGTTGCGTGAATAGCGTTCCCTTCTAATGTAATATGTTGCGTCTAGTGCCGTGGCTTAAAATCGATGTCAGTAGTATGTTGTATGCGATCCTTGACGATACTCGATCATGCTAACAATGTCTGCTTCCTCTGTTTCAGGTAAGGATCTAAATTTCGCCAGTAACAATGCCGGTGAGTGTTTATCTAACAATATAACATTACTATCGCTTGCGTCTCTCTTTTGTGTTATATCTTAATCGCTTGTTTTTCGTTGGATAATACTAATTAGATAATATTCTTACAGCAATAGCTAATCGATGTACATGTATATTCATGTGTCAATTGACATTTTCTTTTTCATGTAACTATCATTATTAACAGTGTCTATTTCGTCATCGATGACATTCACTCACCGAAGGTTATCGCGAGATCAATTTTATGGTCCACTAGGATGAATAGTATACCCGAAAACTTTTCCGGTTGATCTGTTATTTATTAGGATCGTAATTTCAACATAATTCACGACGCAAGAGCTATTTCGCTCTGTACGAGACAGAAACAGGTTCGAGGGCGATAACGTGAATCTATTCAAATCTACTTCTCCTTTTTCCTCGTGTCTCGCGACTGCAATTTCACCTCGAAGATTTCCCGTGCACCCGAGGACAAAAGAGACACGGGCGCAGGGGAAGATTTACGTACATTACGGGGCAAAGAAACAGGATGGTGGAGGTTGACGGAATGGAGGAACGGAACCGGGAAGATATTCTTTCGAAAAGCCCATTTTCAGTAATGCGTGAAGCTGGGTTCCCCGTGCCACCAGCAGAAATAGATCGAGATTGCAAAATGTAGCGAGATAAGGACGACAAATTACAGAAACCGTCTGGATGATTAGCTCTTGACTAGCGAATAACGAGACGAAGATGAATGTCGCTAGGTTTTACTAGTAATTTATTACCTCAAGTGAGCCTTTTTATGTTGCTGCATGATACGTTGCTACACAATTATTAGTGCTTGTTGATTCTCGTTAATTATTATCGAACATTTCGTTACTAGTCTTGATTTTATACCACGATAAATTTAAACTAATTTCGTTAATATTTTTTATTTCTGAGTTTCATATCAACGTTCTCTCAAGGATTCAATTTTCGACAATTTTACAAAACGGAATTACCAAAATCAAATTTTTCCGGTAGAATTTATATTCTGGGATCCTTCGATTTTCATGCATCCGGCGTGCAATCTTGAATTCGGTCGAACGTGTGTCTCCTTTACGAAAAGAACGCGGAGCAAAGGGTAGAGAATATAGAAAAGACGCGTAAGTTCGCTCGTTCGCGGATGCGGAAGAATAGAGCGGAGAGTTGCGGGACGCGAGCGAGATAAGATCGGCAAATTGCAAGCAATCTGGTTGATTAGACTGTACGCTGGTAATCCTGCAGGTTTCACGAGGGAGCCGAGGTACGACCTATAACAGCTTTCGACCCCCTTCGACGTGTATTAGTCGAAGAAACGAGAAAGGATAGGATGTGGAAGAAACGACCGCTAACATAGCTAGCGATGCTATATCCGCACGGTTCCAACAGATTAGGGGATTCTTGGATAGGCATCCCTGACGAATTCAGAGGAGCCTTTCTGTGCTTCAGGAACAGAGCGTATCCTTCTTCTTTTCTTTGTGTTCTTGATTACTTTAGTTTCTTTGATAATATTCGTAAACTGATTTTGGCATTTCATTGTAAGGTTAGGCTTGAACAGGAATTTTTATCGATGTAACAGTGGAAACGATAAGCGCGTTCGAAATGTAGCGTTCCAGACATTTGGAAGGAATTTTTAAGGGTCTCGAATTCCTTTTAAGATTTATCCCAGACTAAAAATGAAAAGCATTCAGCACATATGATATTAAATCAGACCTTCCTTTCTTTTCGTGGTCAAAGTTTGGAGAGTAGGCAAGATTCCAGCAAGATTGAAGTACACTTAAAATCCTCTCTCAAAAGTAACCTCTTTGGATCTCTCTCGAATCCATCTCTTCGCTCCTCATTTCCATGTAACGCCTGCATAAAACGTTACTTATCTCGAGTCTCGTTTTCGTTCCACCTTCATCAGCCTTATCTTTAGCTCGGCGAACTAGCTTGCGCGCCTCTGCAGTTTACATCAACACCGAAATCAAACTCCGTTGTCCAGCAGCTTTTTAATTTCGATTTTCAAGCCAGATTGTATGTCGCTTTTTTTCACTTTTTTTTTGTCCTTCCCATGCTTTTGTTTCAATTTATTTTGAGCCCGCCGAAAACTGGATCGTGAAATTAGCATTTTCCAAGTGTCGAGAACAGATCATTGACTGGAACTGGCACTCGATAACGAAGCGAAGAGAGCGGAAACAGGGAGGCAGAGGAAAAAAAGAACGCGTGTGCGTGGAATCGACCGGCGACAAAATTTGTCAGGGTTTCGAATTTGCGTGATATTCCCGGCGATTCATTTTGAAAACCGAACGCTGATAAATTGTCGCAGTAAATAAAATAATGTTTGCAAAATATATGCGGTTGTCGAAATGATATAGACTCGCGGAATTTCGTAGAAACGTAAGTGTATGGCTTCCAAGAGCTTTCTTCGCATTGTACCTCGAGACGATACCTTGGAATTATTAAATATTTTCCTGCATATGATCGAAATGTGAATAATTTAAATTAACAGACGTTTTTAAAATCGCTGCACTCGAACGTTGCTTGTAGAGTTAAAATTCTTCGATTATTTACTTCGACATTCATGTTACAAGCGGACGGGCGAAATAGTGGAGGAATAGGACGTTTCCATTAAACGCTTCTACACAGTGTTCCGTTTCAAACATCGCTTTCCAAACGAAATCAAATTTTAATTGTAAGCGAGAAATGATAAAATATTACGGGATGAAATTTAATAACACATCCGATGGGTAGCCAGTTTATGCTAAACGGACGAACATCCCGTGTTTGTGATACGAAAAATATTATTCGGAAATAATATTCCGCGGGACATCGTATTATTCGTTATTAAATCACGAACGGAACATGATTATTTATTTGGGAGATTACTTTTCTCTTCCGCATTTTTCCCAGTCCGTTGAATCGCATTGTTCGCAAGCGTTCGACGTACCGCGTTCATATTTAAAACAAACCGGAAGCTTGGGAAATGTAATAAATTGCGAGAAAAGATCGTCGCTCTCGGTCTGTTTATATCCCGGAGATATAATTGGAATTAAAGTTGGTCGTAATCTTCCATTAACTCGACCACATTTTTCTCTCTCTTTTGCCTGTTCTTTTGGCAAAGAAGAAAAAGATAGAGAGAGACAGACAGGCAGAGAAAGAGAAGGGACGAGCATGGGATCCATAAGCGGAAGTAGTAATAGAATTTCGAAACGGGCAAAATCAGGGGCAATGGACGGAGAGAAAAACAGAGACCGATGGACAACCAAGGACCGGGAGGAGAGACCGGAGAGTTAGGAAGGATGGGAGAGGGAGGAACATCGTCAACTCGACCACGTCTACCGAGGGATTATCGTGGGTGACAAAGGGATTTGAAAGAGGCGGCACGGAATTGGATTCTGGGAGAAACGCAAGAGGCACTCGAAAGCCGCTTTGTGTCTCTCATACAATAATTATTTGCGAAATTGTCGTGAAGCTGTGAGATATCGAGTGGCTTTTAATGACGTATATTTCTTCGAGGATCCGATAGAAATCGCTCACCGTCCCGGATATCGTGCGTTCCGTAATTATTCCGATTCGGCTGAATTAGTCTACCTCCCCCTCCCTTCGGCCCCTCGTCTCCTCAACAGGCCTTTTATTCTTTTCAATTCCCCCCTTTCGTTTTCGGTCTCCATCTCACTCCTCGCCTCGTTCAGCTTCCTCGTTTCCGTCGCCGTTTGTACCGCGAAACGTATGGAAAAATACCTACGTGCAATCCTCTCTCTCCTTCTCTCTTCTTCCCTATTTTCTCGTCGTTTTATTTCCTCTCCTCTCTTTTTTCGTTTTCGGTGGTTGTGGTTTAATTAGAAGCTGAGAAATTAAAACAAACGAACGCACAGGGGCTGTATGCCATGCTCGGTCGTAGCCATTGTTGCTCCCCCCTTTCGTGCTCGCGTGCAAGCAACGTCCTAGGAAGCCGGCAATTTGCGAAGAACCTTCCCGCCAGCCTGCGGTTTTTGCAACATGTTTTCGCCCGTCTTGTTGCTTTCAAAAAATTAGTATCTATATCTGCCGTAGCCTAAAAAACTTCGAACTCTGTAGGTTTCTATATGCTGAAATTCTTCACTCCTTTCTGTGTCACATCTGAAAAATAATAGAAACAAGAATTGCGTATAAAAGGAACCGTTAACACTATAATCTGGCATTGCATATTGATCGTACATTAGTGAGCATATCGTAGGCGTTTATATCTTAATCCTCCTCTTTTAATGCTTCCAGCGTATTACGAAATTAACGTATATGTTCTTTCAACGCAGCGATAATTTCGAAGCAAACAACCAATCCTCTCTTTCAATTTGAATGTTTCCATTTCGACCACTATTACAGTATCACAACAGGAACGAGCGTCGACCACTTTCTATCTCTGCCACTATCCCCTTCTCTCCACCCCTGTGCAAAGCCAGCCCAAGCAGAGACATACCGAAAATGCATGTGCACCTGAGAATAAAAGAGAAAAAAGCGCAAAATGTACGACGAGAGTGGTAACAACGCGCGAAAGGGGCCGGAACAAATGTGACTTTCAATAAGCGGCGTCGCTCGAAACGGGGGACGTCGTTTCGTCTGCCGAAACAACCCCCTTCCTCCCTCGCCGTTCCTTTTGCTCCCTTCGTTCGTTGCCACGCGGTCAAATTTGCTCGCCGTTACGCGAAGCGCAACACGAGGAAAAAGTCGTTGAAATAAGAGAAAGTATCACTTTGAACAGGTAGGAAGAGAATATGGGGTGGCGAGGAAGCAGCAGGAGGAATGGTTGCTCGTACGGTAGCAGGCGTATCGGTCGAATTATCGAGTGGTACGTTACGCTTTTATGCAGATTCGCCGGCGGAACGACCGGCAATTCCGGAATTAATGCCAACCGGACAAATGTTTCGCGGTTTTTCTGCTGAATTATCGTATCCCGGGAGGGCACGGCAAAACGTTCGGCCTCACCTCCGCTGATGTGTATACATCGTGTACAGCCGGGTCAGCTTACGGACCTGGATGTTT